TAATAGCTGTCTAACTTATATTCACATTTTCATTGAAAATTATGTTAACTTTCTGAAATAGAAATTTGACAATAGCATTCACATGATTAAAAGATTTCAAAAATTTCTTCCCCTATGGGGTAACATTATAACTCTTTAGAACAATTTTATGCATATTATTAGTGGTCATGAGTATATTTTCAAACTGTCTGCCTCTCTGTCATCCCTCCTTTATTCTCTACATCTAGGCATTTGTGTTTTTTTATATTTCTCTATTCTGTTTACTCCTGTTGAAAGTATTAGGGGCCATTAAAATTATGAGAATTATACCTAAGATGAACAAGTTTTAAATGAAAAATCAAATATATCTCCAGAGAACTGTAACTTTAAACATACAGGCTTTGAGTTTTTTAGTTGAACCATTTTAAGTTCCCCTGATTTGAGTCTGGTTACCTTTACATCAATTATACTATGTGGTGAGATAAACACTGTATTAGACACAATTGAAGACAGAATTAGTTTGAGGATACTGCAAATAATGCCAAATCAAAAAGGGATATTACAAATACAGAACAGAGGTTAAGAGAGAGAAAGGAAAAACTGAGCTTAGTTATATTTGCTCTTATTTACATAAAGAAAGATGAGAAAAAAGGGAGGGGGTCTATTTCCAGACTCTTTATTCTGTTCTGTTGATCTACTTATCTTGTTGGAAATATCATACCTTGTAGGCCGTATTTTAATAAGCATAGGGGAGAGAAAATATTAAAAGGGAAATTGGTAGAACACATTTCTCAAATTGAGAAAAAGCCATTAAGTCCTCCAAATCAGGACACAAAGTGGGCACTTTGGAGGCCAAATAACACACAACTAGACAAAACAATGTATGAAAAGGTAAACTCCTAGCGGTAAACAAATAAAAATAGTTTACCTACAATAATCAGTAATTACACTGATAGCTAGCTATTTACAGAAACAACAGAATCAAGAAGATAAGATAAGAAAATAACAGTCAGATCAAACCTTAAAAAACTTCTTAATAGTGTAAGTTAAATACAGATATTTTTATACAAGGATTGAATCTTTATCTTTAACAGATCCTCACTGTAGGAAATAAAATAATATATACTTTAGGATGAAGAAAGCTAAGCCTTGAGGGATGGAGTGAGCTGCAAGAAGCAGTGATCAAAAGACTTGCATAAATTTAAATCAGTATTGGCTAGAAATACAGTAGTAATTATGATGGCAAATGTCTGGGGCATAAGACAAGTTAGAAATACATTGTTGAGTTAAAATAACATTGGAGAAAGACTGCATTTTAACATTCTTCTTTTACTGGTTAAATTTTGACTGCATAAAATTAAATACAGTCATATCTCACTTTATTTTGCTTTCTTTATTGAGCTTCCCAAACACTGTTTTTTTTAATAAACTGAAGGTTTATGGCAACCTTGCCTCCAGCGTGCCTATGGGCACCATTTTTCCAACCATATTTGCTTACTTAGTGTCTCTGTGTCACATTTTGATAATTCCAACAATATTTCAAACTTTTTTCAATATTATTATGTTATGGTGATCTGTGATCAGCGCTCTTTGATGCTCTGATTTTTACATGTCACTGTTAAGAGAATGAAAAAAATCACAGAGCTGAGATATACTTATAAATCAATATCTGATAAATAACATGCATCCAGAATATAAAAAAGAACCCTCAACTCTCAATAATAAGAAAGCACAGAACACAATTTTAAAAAGGTCCAATATTGGACCAAATTCAATATCAAAGAAGTGTTCAGTTGAAAAATAAGCCAGGATACTCAACAATCTTTTTCATTTGGAAAATACAAATTTAACCACAGTGAGATAACACTGAACATGCATTAGAATGTTGAAAACAAAAAATGACAACATAACAAGTGCTGATGAGAAAGTGGATGAGCTGGAACTTTCCCACACTGCTGCTAGGAATTCAAAATGGTACCACTACTTTGAAAAACAGTTTGTCAGTTTCTTAAAAGTTAAACATAGTCTTATCATATGAAGTAGCCATTCTTATCTTAGATGTTTACCCAGGAGAAATGTAGAAATGTATAAAATATATTGAAAAGAGCTTCATTTGTAAGAAAAAAAAAACAAATTTGGAAACAGTCCTAATGTCCAAGGACAGATAAATGGACAAAAAATTGACGTATATATATATTATATATATACTTTTATAATTTGTACATATTGTATAAAAGGTAATGGTATATATAATGGAATCCTGCTCAATAATAAAAGTGGATTAACTCTTTATACATACAACACATGGATGAAATTCAAAATAATTATGCAGAGTGAAAGATGCTACTGAAAAAGAACATATAACAAATAGTTCAATTTTTAAAAGAAGTTTAGAGAATTCACTACCATCCTAGTGACAGAAAGCAGACTGGTATTTGGGTAGCTGGGAGGAGACGGGAGGAAAGGGCAAAGGGTGAGAGTGGAGGAGAACAAAGAGCTTGTGACAACTTCAGGGAGTGATGACATGTTCACTAACTTGATTGTGGCAATCATTTCATAGCTGTATACATATTTCAAAACTTACCAAATCATAAATTTCAATTACATGCAATTTATATCAATTATATTCAATAAATCTTTTTTTAAATGTCTATACTATATAACATATGGTGACACTAAAAGTTAACTGCTGGGGCATCAACTTTACAAAATGAGCTTGAAGCCTCTTGAACTACTCAAAAAAACCCACTATGATGAAAGTATGCCAAAGGACCACAGAAGCCAACACAGGAGATGGTGACATGCTTCCAAAGAGTCCAGTATGAAGTGGGGATAGGGAGAATTCACTAAAGTGGAGAAACCTAACAAATGAGCCAGATGAGTAGGAATAATGGCAAGTGATAAATCATGCTGATTAAGTACAATTGCAATATGTGATGAAAGTGGCACTTTGTCTCTGTGGTCTTCCTCCCCCAAACTTATGACTCTAATTTAATCATAAGTAACACAATACAAATCACAATAGAAGGATTTTTACAAAATACCTGATCAGTATCAAAACAAGGAAAGTCTGAGAAACTTTCGAAACCAACAGGAGCCTAAACCACATGAAAGCTAAACATAGCATGGTGTCATAGGTGGGATCCCATAATAGAAAAAGGACATTAGTAAGGGAATGTTAATAAGGAATGTATTCCAGTTAATTGCAATGCATCAATAGTAATTTATTAGTTGTGATAAGTGTTAATAATATTAACATTTAATAATATTAACTAATAATAATGACATTAATAATAGGGGACATTGAATGTAGGGTATGTACTCTCTTAATTTTTGTGTAAATCTAAAGCTATTCTAAAATTAAAAAGTAGATTTCATATTTACCTGGCAGGGGATATGCCATGATCATGAAAGTGGTTTTCCCAGGGCAAGGCTCATCCATTGCACTCTAGATGTGCTGACCCCTGCAATTCCCCCAAATGTTAGAAACTCGACTGCATAATTTGCGGTAGTGGAGGTCTGCATTTGTGCTTTCGCCTGAAAAGAAAACAGAAAGTAGATTTCAAAAAATAGTTAACTGAGGCACACTACAGGAAAGACAAGACTCCAACTTTGTCCTCCCTGACTTCTGCTCACTGTTCAGGTCTGTCCTCCACACTTCCTTCTTTCATTTGCCAAACTTCTCGTGGCTCCACATAAAAAGTGAATAAAATAGTTCCATGGGAAGCACTTCTAGGTATATTTTTGGTTTTGAATTTTTGCAAATATTCTTTGTTTTTTATTGAAGTATATATAGTCAGTTGATAATGTAGTGTTAATTTCTGGTGTACAGCTTAATGATTCAGTTATACATATGTATATATATTCCTTTTCATGTTCTTTTTCATTATACACTACTACAAGATATCGAATATAGTTCCCTATGCTATACAGTAGAACCTTAATGTTTATCTATTTTTTATATAGTAGTTAGTATCTGCAAATCCTGAATCCCAAACTATTACTCCACCTCCCACTTCCCCCTCTGGTAACCAGAAGTTTGTTTTCTATGTCTGTGAGTCTGCTTCTGTTTTGTAAATAAATCCGTTTGTGTTCTTTTTTTAGATTCCACATATAAGTGATGTCATATGATATTTCTCTTTCTAGTTCTGGCTTCCTTCACTTAGTATGACAATCTCCAGTTCTGTTCATGTTGCTGCAAATGGCATTATTTCATTCTTTTTTATGGCTGAGTAGTATTCTGTGTCATATATGTATGTGGTATATATATACACACACACATACACACCACATTTTCTCTATAAATATTTACAAATATTCTTAGTAGAATCTTCTCACTGTTTTTGAGGAGAAATACAGACACTAAACATGAATAGGAAAAAATGGTCCAGCCATTAGAATGCAGCTGTTGCTACTCTATGTGTCTTAAAAGATCTGTGGAGCATGGTGATAAATTCAAATGGTATAGGTTGCCATCCAAGCTGTGACCCATTTGATAGCATGACTATTAGTAATTGCTTCATCACATGTGGGGAAAAGAAGAGTACCTCAAAGAAGGTGAGACTTAAAAGGCTTAATTTACGGCAAAATGTTTGCAACTCTATAAAGTTAGTCCCTCTCCTGTCCCTCAACTTGTCTACAACGTAAAAAACGTCTTTACTACAGACACAACTCTGCATTCTTTTTTTCTTTTTTAACATTTTTAATGTTAACCTTCTTTATACAGTTACATCCCAATTATTTCTGCTTGGAAACAGAGTGGGATGTGTCTGGAGACTGAATTCAAGCCTCATGTTAATTATCTGAAATCCAATTTGTTGTCTACATCCCGTTAGAAATGTGAACTATGTAGTATGCAATATTCATAATATGGCCAGTTACCTCATATGAGAGTAATTTAATTGTCAGTGCTGCTCAACCATTGTTTAATGAATTCCTAACAATTTGAAAGGCAAGCTGTTGGAAGACTATTATTAAATTTCATATTTGCTCTGCAGTTTTCTTCACCATTGCTTCATCTATTTAGGATTATGATAACCATTAACTTTGGGGTTCCTTAAAAAAAACAGGACTTTTTTGCATAATGCAAAATTTGAACTTCTTATCTACTTGAAAACTGGAGTATATACATTTTAAGGCAGGCTTGCAATTAAAGGGTGATGATCACACTCATCTGTACAATAAAATACAAATTCATAAAACAAAGGCATCATAGTTCACCCACTTACACAGTAGCAACAATGGGAAATATTATGGTAGACACAGGAGGAAAAGGCAGGTACTTACAG